CCTCCAGGGCAGGCGGGGATCGAACTCATGCGAAAGTGGCTTAAGCTTCTTAGTGCTGTGCTTTAACCCGCTGCGCCACCAGGGAGGGCCCGACATCCTGACAATTTTTAAAGTTATTTAAAAAAATACATTTATCAAAGTTTCCAAATCAGCAAGCTGTGTATTATGCCAAATATTTAAGACATTTTAAACAATAAATTTACACTATTTCTATACATAATTTGCAATTGTTCTATATTATAAATGCGATCTGGAGTCTAAATCATAGATCTTATCTCCAGGGAATATAGTTTACCCTTATAATTACCACTTACATTATCTTTAGAAGTGGTTTGATCTGTGCCTTTAACTTCTGAAGTTTATAATTTGCCTTTTTATCACTATAGTTTTCACAGTTTATAGCTAACAGTGTGATAAGGAGGGAATACTTTGTGACAATTTACGATGCTGAGATCTTCTAGAAAAGGGGATAGATAGTAGTAAACAAAAAGAGCCTTGCAGTAACGTCTAAAGATACTCAGATCCTTATATAATTTTTCTAAGTTACAAAATGCAGTACCTAGGTTTTAATAATTAAAAGCTGGTCTTCATTGAACCTACACATTTAACCTATTTGATAATGGCATTAATTGTAGTAGATTATTCTGTACTTTTGAATCAGCTATATTTAGAGTAATGTGTTTGATGTTGGAAAAATTCTTGTTATATATGTGCAGCATACTTGGGTGACTTTGATGGCCTTTACCTTTTCAGAAAAACACATTAAGCACAATTCTAAGTATTCCTAAATTAAGAATTTTAGTATTAGTCATGTAAAAAAGTTACAAACACTTCAAGTATTTCCAATTTCAAGCAAAATATATTTCCCTTCTAAACATAGACCCCTTTAACTTGATAGACTGTTAGCACTGCTTGTGCTATTCAGAATCTGTTCAACATCTCTCTTCTGAGAAACTGGGTATACTTTTGAGTGTTAACTTTCCATGCAACATTTTTCTGCATTAAATGAACATGGCACACCCAACAAGAATCTTATTCTTACAAAGCATCTTGTCTTCTTCAGAGGCCTGGACATACTTCCAGATGTATCTCACATTGAAGCCAAAAATATGAGTCTGCCTGCTTAAATCATCTTTATCTGTTCTCACTATATGACACTCTACTTCTTCATTATCAAGAAAAAGCTATTATGATTTCAGTAAGTTCAAATTTGTGAAGAACAATGAGAGGAGATAGAAAATCTAGCAAGGATAAAGTATGAGAATGGACAACAGTGATAATTGCTATACTGTATCTTCGTCACCAAGTTAAAGTTATAAAATTTTTACATAAAATATGTCTTAGCATGCATGTTTTGCTTTTTTACCAACATGTCCAGGAACTTATGTTAGTATGTGCAGTCTTTCATTTTGTTTTCCTCCACATTTTGTGGTATGTTTGCCTTTTTAAAGTAACCTTTGATTTTTCCATTAAACCTTCAAAAGAAACCTGGTGAATTAGGTGGATTTCACTAGAACCATACAATTTAAATGCAAGCCACTGCTCACCTTAAACATAAACAGCCTCCCTTAAACATGTGAGTCGTGCTTAAGGAAAGTCGAAAGACATATGTTTACAATTCGGTAGTTCATTACATTTGGCCTGTGACTGATTAATACATAAAACTCAGGCATTAGCTTTAACAGAATCTATTCAGAATAGATTTTCATTTGAGAGAAGAAGAAAAGAGGGAAGGTATAGTGCTAGGGGAAGAGTACAGGGCAAACTAAAATAAGTATGCATCTGCAACTAGCTATTAACAAGACTTCATGCTATCAAAAAGTTAAAGCCTATATTTGATTTTTGTCTTTAATTACAGTAAGAAATGAAAGTTCATTTTAGATCTTCCCCTAACATCCCACATCTTTCATGAAAAGTAATCACTGTTAACAATTTGTATGTCTATTACTTAATTTATATTTGGCCTTTATAAATTTTCAGTTCCATGAAAACAACTTTGACTTGCCCTGTGTTAAGTTACAGCTGCAACCATTGAACAACTTAACAAGGAAACCAGAATCATGCTTTGTTACAGAAAGTTAAGACAGTGACAACATTTCTAGAACTGTGAGTTAACTACCTGAAGCTCAGGATGCTTTATGTTTACAATAAACTAATCTTTAAAGTGTGGAGCATTCTGGGAAAGTCAAATCCAATGAATGGTTTCCATCCCTCTAGAACTATGGCCGGGAAAGAGGAATGTGCAAATTCAAGCACTTTATTAATGCCTGTATAATTCTTGGTTGATCTCATTCTCTCACTTTTTCCAGCTTGGAAAGCATTGCTGTGAAGAGCATTTCAAGGCTGTAGTTTACCATGAGTGAGTTCCATGACACAAAGTTAAAGGTGTATTCCCCAGAACATGTTTATTCATGTATGAATAATAATTTGTGTTCTAATAAACATGTTTGAATAAACGATTTGATGAATATTCAGGGTACATGTTAAGCACAAGCTTGCGATTTTGTTAATAATAGTTTCCACATGGAATTTTAAAATGTTTTAATACATTCTGCTTATTATAATTGTCCTCTAAGTTCTTCTCAATTTCATATCTTCAGTACCTGCGGTGTGCCCAATGCACGTATGTCAAGGGAAGGAACCAAACTTCTTTTTTTGGAACCAAAGTTTATAGTTGAGAGATGGCAAACTGATGACCACCACTCCTAATCCTGATATGAGTATTTTTAGAAAAGATTTATTCATAAAGAACTGGGGTACAAGCCAAAGGTGCAAGGGCAGTGACAGGATTCACCAGAGACAGTGGGTAGCATAACAGGCAGATCTACAAAGTACACTGCTGAGGGGAGCAGCTGGCGGCACAGAAGAGGTCTGCCGCATCATGTGGATCACCTCCTGAGCTGGGGAGAGACCTGGCATTGAAGCGGCAGTGGCTAGGTTGCAATGCTGCTCCTAACCTGTTGAGCAGCCAGGGAGGGCCCTGATATGAGTACTTTATCTGTGGGTATGAGATAAACCATACATAAATATTGACATTCTGTATTTGACCAGATGCACCCAACTTTTGGGGTGAGGTAATTAGGATAGCAGCGACTGAAGCTGATAGTTAATTTGAGGTAAAGCTGAACATTGATTTTGAGTGTTGCAACAAACA